AAAAATTTGAAATCAGGTGAAGGTGGGTCGCAAAACAAACACATTTACACTCTTAAGGGGCGCTAATTTTCTAGAAGAAACCGGCTGATTTCTTCTAATATACTAATATACTGTCCAAGAGACTTTTGAACTCTCCGAAGTGATTTTTCTGGGGCGACCGGAGCACTTCCGGTTTTTTTTCAACTTTTCAGATTGAAATATATGTGGACCTTATATTTATTCGTAGTCTTATTTCGGCTGCATTCGTAATCCGAGAATTCCATAAATGTTGAATGGATTGATCCTGCGCAACCTTTTGTTAGTCTCATTTCGTCGCTGTATTAAAAAAATTTTTTCTAAAAGATACAATTAAAAACGCCAATTAAATTGGGTACACCATACTGTATTATAAATTGCCATCGAAATTTCAAACTTGAGAGTTTTAATATTTTCATTATTTAAACTTTAACACCTTGATGATAAAATTTTAGTAAATTTTAGTGCATAAAAGGTTGCAACAAACTCATTAGAAATTTTTATTATTATTCGTGTAACAATGAAAAGGTCAATTTTGAATCGTCGCTTTTTTGCTATAAAGGTAAATAGATTTTTTTTGTAAATACTTCATATCATTTTGATGCATTTGAAAAATTTAATTATTTATTTGTGAAACCTTCGTTGCAGCGTGGAAAGTTGAAGAAGAAATTAGAACGATGACAAACAACTTTTTTATATGCTCAGCTATGTAAATATTATTTATTTCCGGATTTGGAAATAAGTGTTTATTACACAACTAATCAACAAAATTGAAAGAAACCAGATTATGATGAGATTCATATCATATTCCTCAAATAAATTTTAATATACTTTAAATATGAGAAATGTGCCATGCTAATATAGATTGGGGAATTTAATCATGCGATGGGAAATAACTATATTATGGATGTGGAAATTGGACGTGGAAAGAATAATGAAGCGTAAATATTTTGCTAAAAAAAATTCTCTTATGCACTATTTTGAGAAAAATTAAAAGGCATGTTTATATATGACTTATTATTACTTATACACAACACATTCTGCAGTGTAAAGTTCTGAATTCAGTGGGTTGCTGGCTTATGAACCAATGGAATAGGTTATTTAAAAATATTAAATAAACTTGAATGACTCAAATGTTAATTATTGCCAGCATTCAAATTTAATCTTTTCATTCAACTAAATTTTTATTTATTATGTCGGCATTTGAATTTAAGCGGTATTCTATCAAGACGTAACAATAAAGCGTATAATTACTAATAACTATTATGATAAAATCAATGACCTGATTAATTTTTTTTGGATATTTAAAGCATATTTGATTCAATAATTTTTATTTCTAAGCTTTTGATGAGATAGATAAACATTTAGATTAAAAATGTACAAAGAATTTATTATCTATCTTTCAAAGACAAACCAGCAATCTCGATATCTTTTTTTTAATGAAGTTATTTAAAGGGACTTTTATAATAAAATCTGTCTGTAAATAAAGAATATAAATAAATTCATTGCAAAATATTTAATTATAAAAAATATTATTTGTCTCACAATATGTACTCTTCGCATCATTATTTATTATGTTTTGTGTTGTGTCTCTATTTTTAAAATAAACCCCTATTGTTGTTGCACATTTTTTTGACATTTTTTTATTGATTGTTATGTGTGTGGTTTTACTCCATTGATTCAAACAATAGTCCTATTCAATTCCGAACGTGCTAAAAAAAAGACTATGTTCGATATTGATTTTCGACAGGATTTTATAAGTAGTTTCAACTTTCGATTTATTATAGTTTAGAATGTTTGCACGCAACTTGAATAAGAGTCTTTCTTCTAAAGTATTTTCCGAACTCTACTGCATTTCAAATACAAATTTACCAAAACAAGTGCAACGAAATGTTTATCGTGCAAAGTAAAAGGAGTTTATTTGTAATTAAAAAAAAGTTATAAAAATTGATTATTCTCTATATAAATCGTGTACAAAAGTAATGCATCATATCGCTTTGATTGTAAATTTAATTGTTTAGCCATCATAACATTATAAAAGATTTAATCAAGTCAAACAATTTCGTTAACTTCAATATTATGAAAATCGAATTTATACTACTTTGGATTCCTAACGCAAAATTAATTTTAACTATTACATAAATAGGACAAAAGGTTGCTTCACAAAACCCCGGACTTCGAAATCGAAACTAATTTATTGATTATAATTTAAAAAATTTAATTATATAATCATGCAATTTTAGGGTACAATGGAGTTCTTAATCAAATATGGACAAACAATCATATGGGAGTGTTTCTAGGAAAATCAGGTTCCGAGAAATTTTTGACTAAAATTTAGAGCTTAATACATTTTAATCTAATAACATCAAAAACTAAAATGCAATAAAAATCTCAATTTTGCTAAAAAATTCCCGGAACCTGATTTTCCTAGCAATCAACCCATATTGGCTAATTTGACTCTTTGGCTAATTAAAAACCAATTCCGCCAATAATTACTAAATATAATAAGATTTGCTGAAAATTACACTATATTTAGTAATTATTGTAAACAAATTGATTGGCGGAATTGGTCAAATTAGCCCATATGTTGTTCAACTCATATTAATTGCTAATCAACACGCATTGTCCTCTTTTTTTAAGAACAGCTGCTAGACTGTCTGAGATTTATTGTGATCATATGTCCATTGGTCTAACCTCTCGGGAAATCATTTTTCCGTTTGTAAAAATAAAATTAGTTATATTTGAAGGAAAGCCAATGTATGTTATACATTTTTGTTTTATTAGATAAAAGTTATTTTATTTATTTCAATTTCATTTTATATGAAATTTTTATTTTAAAAAAAAATTTTCGAATAATTAACAACTCAACATAAAATTATTTTGCTTGTTCTCTTTGATTAAAAGTGCTCAAGGAAGTAAAAAAAAAAACAACGCGTCTTGATATTATTAAAAAAAATTATAACTTTATAACCAGTCAATCTAGATTCTATATGATCGGCAATTCGCTGCTTAGTTTGACCAACTATAAATCACGAAAAACGCGTTTGTTGTAATTATTTATAAAAATTTCATCTGAGACCTTGAACTGTAATTTGAAAATTATTTGGATCTATTAATTAACAAAACTATTTGGAAAATAAATAAATAAATAAAATAATGTGGCTAGTGATGAAATAATCAAATTTGGAAGGTCTAGGATAATGATCAGAACCCCTCGGTATAAGTTTCTCTTTTATTTTAGAATCTTTTTTATTTTACATTAAAACTTACGAAGATATTATTATCTATATTTCAATAACAAACCAGAGTAAAGAATCACGGTATCCTTCTTTAAATGAGATTATGTAGGGAAACTGATAATCTTTTATTCAAAATAAACAAATAAATCTTTAAGTTTCATTTGTAAATAAAGTCACACTAAATATTGCACACCATTAATTAGGGTAATACAATTTAAAAGTCAATCAGCCATGCGGCAAAGAAAAAAATATGGACTTTTTCATGTGAAAATTACGGTATATCCAATACAGTTGTTTGTTGGCGTAACAACTTTACTTCAAAGTTCGGTTTCGACGAGATTTATTTTTAGTTTAGAATATTAGGACCGTCGCAACCTAAGGTTATTCTCCACGATTTAAAATACAAAATTACAAATCAAGTTCAACGAGTTGGTTTATTGAAAAGACTAAGAAAATGATTTGAGGTATCTTTACATCGTTCAAATAATGGTGCTTGTATTGAATTTAACTTATAATACGAAAAATCTTGATTTAATATCAGTAAAATCAAAATCTATAAATTTAAATTTCACTCATCATCCTTCATATCAGATGATTATGTTCTATTAAATTAGAAAGAACAAGTTCATTAATCTTTTTATTTCTTTAGTTATATAATCTATTAAATTAAATCTCGATCATTAATTGCTATGAATCATTATATATTCTTTGTTTTTCTAAAATTCAATGTTAACTGTGATATTTTCCTTCGTTAGAGCTCGAGTTTAACAAATTTTGCAACAAATATTGCATATAAAGAATTTTTCGCGCTTTTATTTGATAACCTCCTCAATTTATACACAATGAACATTTTTTAAAGATTATAAAATAATATATTGTTAAACCAATAATTTGTCATAATTATTATTAAATTACTCTACATTTTTTTTTAAAAAAAAAAGTGCATTAAAATATAAATCCTTTATATTTACGTAAACATAATTATGGTTGAACAATTAAAACTTTTGATTGAATAAGGAAATTTTAATATGGTAATACAGTATAACTTTATTTAATTGCAAATATTTGCAAATATTTAATAAAGGATTAATCGGAATTTCGGTGATCTTTTTTTATTAATTTCGCATATTACCGATAAAAAATGTATTTAAAGGGAGGGTTTTATTAAAATCTATCCAAATCACCTTCTTTCGCGCAATAGACTTATCAATTAAGTAAGTCTAATTTATTTTACTTAGTAGGAGCCTCGTCATGATATTTAAATCATATGATCTGTAACGTGGCATACCACAACCGTTCTAGCCTTGGTAGCCGGATTTATTTGCCGGGTCACATATATGTGACATATAATTGTGACAAAAGAATACTTAGTAAAAATGAAAAACGGGAACGGGATGACACTATGTGACAAATTTTCTAACCCTTTAACTAATCCTAATTCTACCCTAATCCTAATTCTATCTTAACCTTAATCCCCTAATAATAAATACCCAGAAAAACAAATCCGACTACTATTTTTTCCGGGAGACGCTATATAAGTCTGCACGCCCCTGGGGGGTTAAAAAGAGTAACCATAAAAGATACTCAAATAATATTTGTATCATTTCAAAAAAAAAAAAAATTGTTAATCAGCGCGATATCAAAATATATTTATTATTTACTTTTTATTTATCGCATATAAAAATATCTCAAATTTATATTAATTTTTTATAATATACTAAAAGAAGTTTCTATATAAATTCTCAGATGTCTTTTCAATTAAATAGAGATCAGAATTCCGTCATGATACAAAAAGGAGAATTGAATCGAAAAAATAATTTAAATTTTGAAAGATGTTTAGATTGTGATAAAGAAAAAAGCAATATCGGATTGTGTAAAGAATGTGAAATAAATGCTTTTAAAGAAAATTTTAAAAATTGGACATGTGGTAATCTTGAAATCGATAATTTTATTAGACATACTCAATTAAATTCAACTGGAAGTGAAGATTACTTGGAATTTATTGAATTTGAGCAATTTGATCTTGTTGAAAACACATATAAAGGCGGAGCCTTTAGTACAATTTTTTCAGCAATTTGGATAGAAGGTCCTCGATGTATTTGGGATGAAGG